AATAGTCTTCACTTCATCATGATTATCATCAGTGTCCCTGGAAAACCTCGCGCTCTTCCACCATACACTCAGTCTTGTCTTTCTGTTCCAACAGCCCTGGCCAGTATGGAGCCACTGGTGCTACTGTCATAGAGTGTGAGCTTTGTAGGGACAAAGTCCTGATCTTGTTTATCTGTGTAAACCTTCCCCCCAGTAGTAAAGGTTTCATTAATGTTTATTAAATTGGAAACCCTTAAAAAATAAAAAACACAGAAAAAGAAAAGTCAATTCCAACCGTATTTTTCCTATTTATCAAGAAAAGAGGCTCTAAAAGATGTCTGCTTAGACATCTGTATTTGTGATCTATTCTGTGAAATAAATAACCTTCAAAATCAATGGTAAGACAATAAGAAAAAGAATAGTGCATAGAATAAAACAGATTAAAAGAAAAACTAAATAATGATCACTTTTACAGTTTCTATGGATTGGGGATTCTAGAGGCTTAACTAAGGGTGCCCGGCTCGGGGTCTGTCAAGGTTGGTGGACAAGAGGTTGGCAGAGGCTGCAGGCATCTGAGAGTGTGACTGGGGCCCAAAGGGCCACTTCTTAGGTGGCTCCCTGCCAAGATGGCCATTGTCAGGAGGCCTCAGTCACCCGTCACCCAGGCCTTTCCATAGTCTCCATGGAAACCTCACAATATAGCAGTTAGTTTCCAAGTGACCCAAGAGACAGCAAGGCAGAAATCCCGCTGTTTATGAAGTAGCCTCACTAGACTCTGTGGCTTGACTGTGTTCCTTCCAAGATTCAGGGGCTGCTGTGTGAAAGTGATGAGGCCAGGTGAGCATTACTGTCATGGACGGGACCAAGGCCCTTATCCAAGAGGCTTCCCAAAGCACTCAGCTTGCTCGCCGGCTCTGGCGCCTCTGCCAGGTGAGACCACGGCAAGAATGCCTTCGAAGAACCAGATACTGTTGCCTGAGTCTCAGACTCCGAGCCTCCAGTACCCCGAGAAATAAATTTCTGTTCATTAATCACCCGGTGTGAGGTATTCAATTATAGAAGCACAAAGCAGACTAAGATAGTCACCTCTACCTTCTGCAGGGAGGAATACCAAAGAATTTGTGGACGTATTTTTAAGCCACTGTTGCTTCTTTAACCGACTCAGATTCACATGGTCAGGATAATGTCAGTGGAGTGGAGTCTGGGAAATAAATGTAACTTTGGAGGCTATGCCAATTCTTCTCTGGAATAAAACGTGGGCTCTGCCAGCAAGAGGAAAGAGGAAAGGAACAGTAAGGAGGCAACCAGCTCAGGAATTTCTATGGAATGTAATCTTTGAAAATTTGAATAATTCTAGAAGAAATAAACAGTTTAGAATAGGTACAACAATTTCGACTCTTTGAAGGTGAGTAGAGGAATGACCATATGTATTTGACGTCAAAATATAAGATGAACCAATATATAGATAAGTGAGTAGAAGCCAATGTACCTAAATCCTAATTTATAGGAAATTAATATTCAAAGGGAAGAATTTTTCACAAATGATATTGGAAACTGGGTGTTTGAAAAAGATACATTTATATTTTTTGCTACACAGTAAATTCTAGATAAATTAGAAAGTAAAACATGAAGAAGGAAACCCCTAAAAGAAACTAGAATACACATTAAGTGAATATTTACCTGATTCCAAATGAGAAAGAAGCATCTAAGTGTTCAAACAATGGAGCAAATAGCAAAATGAGATTGATTTTAATATTTAAAATTAAAAACTATGTCAAAAACACCATAAAAATTTAAAAGCAAATGAGATTATGCATTATTGATATTTTGATGGGATATGTTTATTAACAAGAAAAATACTTTAGTTTTGCTTGAGGTCTATGGCCCTTTTCTATGGAGTAAATATTTCAGAAATGAAAAATAAAACAGTGGGAAAACATTAATATATAATGGGTTAATATAACTGATAATAAAACTTCTATATTCTCAATAAAATAAGCCAAAATGTAAGGTTAAAAATTCACAGAACAGATGGAACAAATGGCTAGTAAATAGGAATAAATGGCCAACTTTGTTAGTAACCATACTGATACAAATAAAAGCAGAAATAAAATTTAACGTTTTCTCTATCAGATTAGCAGAGATTGCTTAGCATAAACACTCAGGGCTGGCCAGAATATGATGAACCAAGGATAATCTCGCATTGTTGCTGTAGGCAAAGCAATCTGACAACCTTCAGCAAGAGCTGTCAGCAGCTCGTTTTTATCTGATAATTTCAATCAAGAATGTAGCCTAAGGAACAAAAATATTTAAAAATGTATACATGAAGTCCTGTATATCAATATCATTTGTAGTAACAACAAAAAGGAAATTACCTAAGTGTCCCCCCATATACTCAGAGCTAAACAAATCATAGAATGTTCATATGATGGAATACTAAGTTGCTCTTGAAATATTTTAATGAGTTTTAGTGACTTTGAAAAATGTTCATAATATAATTTTAATTACAGGAATAATACACAGTAAATAAAGTATATGTTATACATGATTATGAAGTATATATCATATAGAGTAAAATAGTTTGGGAGAAAATACAACAAAATGTTTCAACAAAATATTTCCTGAGAGTCCTTTTGTAGAATTATGAAAAACTGTGTTTTATTTAGATTTTACATATTTCTCAGATTTTCTGCAAGATGTTGCTTTTGTGATTAGCAGAAAGTGCTCAATAAACTCTAAATGGACTATTTCATTCTATATTGAGGAGTCGCAGTGTATGAGAAAGAGACAGAGAGAATTTATGTACTATAATTCTAAGGAACTTATGTATAGAAATGTTAAAACTCATTTTGTCAGGAAGTGATAGATTAAATCCTACAATAATGCATTAACTCTTTCAGGTCACTAAGGGACCAATTAGTGCATTATGCTAAGGGGTACTAAATTGTATATTACTAGCCTGGAGGAGACCAGCCATGTCCCGAAGCTCTAACTCATATCGCCACTGGGAAGTGATTCAAATCTGGGAAGAAGCTGGTTCATCGAATATTAATTGAATGGGTGAATAAATGACGGGCAGGCAAAGAAAAGCTAACAAGCTAACATTTATTGATTATTTACCATGTGCCAGGGGCTTCCCATTCATTATCCCATTTAATTCTCATGGCAACCCTTTGAGGCCCATTTAATTAATACCATTTTATGGGGGAGGATACTGAATTCATACCATGGATGTAAACAGTTTCCTGTCTTTCATATAGCAAGAGGCTGGCACTGTCTTAGAAAGTCACTTAACTGCTGTGCTCAAGAACACAAAATCCCTTTTGGTTCCACAGTCTTTTTTTTTTTTTTTTTAATTTATTTATTTATTTGAAATTCAGAGTTCCACAGAGAGAGAGAGAGGTCTTCCATCTGATGGTTCACTCCCCAATTGGCTGCAATGGCCAGAGCTGTGCGGATCCGAAGCCAGGAGCCAAGAGATTCTTCCGGGTCTCCCATGCAGGTGCAGGGGCCCAAGAACTCAGGCCACCTTTTACTGCTTTCCCAGGCCACAGCAGAGAGCTGGATCGGAAGTGGAGCAGCTGGGTCTCAAACCAGTGCCCATATAGGATGCCAGTGCTTCAGGCCAGGGCGTTAACCCACTGGCCACAGCACTGGCCCCTCCACAGTCTTCTTTGGGCTGAGGAATTCATAAAATTTCACAGTTCAAGATATCATTCTTTGTTAGTGTGGCTTCTTTGAGCATACTATATAGTGCCTGGTATCTTAGGGAATAGTGGGCCAGGAGGAGCTCTGGGCAGTGAGAAACCTTCTAAGATGTCTGTCATTTCCACTGAAATAGGACTAAATTCCATATACTTTCTGAGAATTTTTAAAATTTTTCATTTGAAAGGGAGAGAGAGAAAGAGAGCGAGCGAGCGAGAAGGAGCTCCCATCTGCTGGTTCACTCCCCAAATGCCCACCGTGGCAGAGGCTGGGCCAAGCTAAAGCTCGGAGTCAGGAGCCCAGTCCAGGTCTACCCCGTGGATGGTTGGCAGGATCCCGACGACTTAGCCATCACTGCTGCTTCCCAGGGTCTGCATTAGCAGGAAGCTGGAATTGGGAACTGGAGCAGGACTCCAACCCAGGCGCGCAGTATGGAATGCGGTCATCTCAGCCCCTGTCTTTAAGTGCTAGATCAGACACTTACAGTAAAGAGAACTGGAGGAGGGCAAAAGAGTGTTAGGTATTCATGAAAGAGGGCAAGGCAGGCCCCAGGGGTAAAAGAGGCATAGAGTAAGGGGTTGGGGTTGCTACCTACTCACTGTTGGTGTCACAAGGGTGCCTAGAAGCCATTTCTCCTGCAGTCTCCTACAGGCAGAAGGCAGGCATTTGCAAGCCTGGAGGAGGGTGTTTTGTGCCCTGGAGCTAAGGAAATTGGTTTGTAAAAAGGAATGCTTTCCTGACTCATTTCATTAACAAGATGCTGTGGTCCAGCAAGTTGGCTGCTACAGACAAGTAAAGGACACAGGAAACTGACATCAACAGTGCTGGAGCAGAATCCATTTCTTACAGGAATCCTGACTAGGGGAAGAGCTGGTTGCTCTGAGTGTTTCTATTTAGAGGATTTTACCCCTGAGAGGAAGCACTTTCCTGTACAGGTGTTGAGACAGTTTCACATTTTAGACAGGTGAAAGTTTTGAGCATAGAATTTCCCATCTCTATATTTTATTGTAAAGAGTATTTGAGGAAGGGATACAGAAAGAGAGAGAGAGAGGCAGGGAGGGGGAGAGAGAGAGAAGATAGTGTGTGAGTGAGTTGCAGAAACCCAATCACTTGATCCATCACTGCCCTCTCTCCCAAGGTCTGTGTTAGCAGGGAACTGGAGTCAGGAGGCAGAGATGGGACTCGAACTTAGGTACTCTGATATGGGATTGAGGTTTCTTAATTGTTAGCACAAACCTTTACACCTAATTTTATTTTTTAAAAAAAAGACTTCAGGAAATAAAACCAAAGTTCTAAATGAAGCTTTTTTTTATTCTTGGTTTGGTTCTTGGTTTGGATACCAATTCCTTGAAAGAATAAGGAACCCAAATTTTTCATTCTCAGAAGTGAACCCAGACAACTAATGTCTTTACATAGATGTACACACAAATTATACACTGTAAGTATACAAGCACCTTCACAAGAAGTCATCCACCTGGCCTTTTGTATTGTGATCCTTTGTGTGATACTGAAACTCCTGTAGGAGGGAGAAAATCGTGATTAGGCGGAAGCAAATTGAAAAGATATTTTTCTCAGCTGGAAGCTGTTAATACTTCAGCTGATACAGACTTGGAGAATAACTTCTCTGTTGTGTGTTTAAAAAAATTAGTATACAAGCACTGGAATAACTCACAGGATGAGAAATCACAGGAGGGAGACAACAGCGGAGCAGATCTGAGGCTGATTGTTTTTCTGCTTATGGGGATGTTGCTCTTTTGCCCTAAGTCTTGGACTGACAGCTCTTCTGCGTGTTGTCTCCAGTCCTTTGGGCCTTGCTGTCTTTGAGTAAATCCTATATTGCCAGCTCAGCCACAGGCTCTGCATTCTCATAGACAGATAATTATTGGAAACATAGGTAGAGTGTGTTGGATTCTAAAATTCCTCCATAATTTAATGTTTTAAAAGATATAGTTTCCTGTTTTCTTATTGCCAAAGCAAAACATACACTTGGAAAACTTACAAAATGCAAGGGAGCAAAGCAAAAAAAGAGTCTATGTAGTAATCTTACTAGTGAGAAATAATCACTAATTAAAAGTGAGTGTATCTAGCCTACCTCTTTTAATCCAGCAGGAGAATATTTTACAAAAAATTGTCCTCATATGGAGCATATAGCTTTATAATCTTGTGTCTACTTTTTCATCTCTTGGGGTAATAGTTAAAAATGTACACTTTGGAATCGGATCCAAAAATCGGTCGAGTTCTGAGCCCACTAGTTACCGTGTGGGTGACATCAGTCTCAGTGTCCTCCTCTGCGAGGTGAGAAGCATGTCAGCGGGCTCACGTGGTGGTTGTGAGGATGAAGGTAAAGTGTGTAAAGTATTTGGCGTGCAGTAAATGCTTAATAAATGACAGCTTTACAAGGGTTATTTTTCTTCCTTTCTCTATTAACCATATTTGGGTCTTGATTCATCTTTTCTTGCTTCCTCTAATATAACTAAAATTGCTTATGTGATTAAAAAAAATCCATATTTCTTAATTTACCTTGAAGATATAGAAAAGACAGCTTTTCTATCTGGACATGATCACTTGTACTAAAGAAACAGTACTGAATATGTTCAGGTGTGGGTGATTCTATTCTATTTTAGAATATTTAATGTTGGTATGCTTCAGACAGATCAGATTAATCTGGCATTAAGTGGTCTGATGCCCAAATTTCACTATCTCCAACTCTGACTCCTCCAGTTGGATAGAGGTGAGCCAATAATCCCCAAGGCCTCTCTTCTCTGAGCACAGAATATAAGGACTAAGAGGATGCCCCTACTCCTGCTTCTGTTTTAACATCCTTTGAGAAATGGGGGAGGGAGGGACTGGGTCCTTTTTTGATAGGCAAGAGCAAGGAAGTGGCAAAGAAGGTTGAGATCCTCATTAAAGACAAGGGCTGCTGTGGGCCCTGTTTCCTTTGTTCAGCCTGCACTCTTACGATAGTCCCTGGCATGGGAAAGTGGAGGGGTGCACCCGGTAACTGGGGGGTCCTGGACTCAGAGGGGACTATATGGTGACATTTGATGTTCATCATACTCACATTCAGGGGAGTGCTGAGTCTGAGACGCCGTGCTTCTCTGGGCTCAGCAGTGAGGCAGCATTATGGCATGGGCAGCCGCGGTGAGGCGTGGGCAGCCATTGGCCTTCCTTTCTTTTCCTTCTTTGCTTGCTGCTCCCGGTAAGTGGAGCTATTTCATTGCCCATGTGTCTGGTATAACAGAACACACCATTTAGTTAGTCAATATGGGAAGAATTTTTTTAAAATTTAAAAATATTTTATTGTGAAAATCTTCTAGCACACATAAGACTCAGTGAACGGTATAACAAACCCATGAACCTCCCATAGAACTTCAGCAGATTTTGACATTTTGCCAATTTTGCTTCATCTTTTGCCTTGTTTCTTTCCTTCTTGCCTCACTTGTTACTGCAGTATTCCACAGGCAAATCTCAGAGATTCTTCAAATGGTTCAGTATGTATCTCTGCAAGATAGACATAAGAAATAGCATAATCACTGTACTATTCATACCTAACAAAATTAGTAGTCATTTCTTAATGTCATCTAATATCTCTTCAACATTCAAATTGATTATCTAAAAAAATCCATTAGTTTGTTCAAACAAGAAGCTAATCAAAGCCTACACATTGCACTTGATTGTTAGTTCTCATAACTATTTAATTATGATAGTTTTTCCTTCCCCACCTCCTAGTTTAATGCCAATTTGGTGTTGGGAGAAACAGGATTATTCCTCCTTTAGAATCAGTGCCAACTTTGGTTGATCTGTGCAGGTCTAAGATTCTTTGGCTAACTCAGAGACCATGTGGAAAAATGTAATAACAGTGTGTCTGTGAGCATGCAAATGTGAGAGCCAGACGCCTTGTTATGCCCGCAGTCCGTGGTCCCCCGAAAATCACACCATCAGAGACAGAAGTTGAAGCCAATTAGCAGGGTCGTTTTTATTACGAGTTCCAACCGTACCGAACGTACCGGCTATCAGTGCAGACCGTAAGTCTTTTTCCCTTTCCTAGTTTTAAAGCTTGGGTTAGGGCTCTCAGTTCCGCTTTCTGTGCCGAGGTGTCTGCCGGCAGGGGCTCGGCCCATATTATCTCAGTCTCTGAAACCACCGCTGCCCCCACATACCTCCGTCCTTGATGCACGAAGCTGCTCCCGTGGGTAAACCAGGTTACCTCAGCGTTGGGCAGGGGTTGATCTCGTAGATCTTCTCTTACTCCGTGCACCTGGGCTAACACTTCGGCACAATCATGGAGTGGGGCCTCCAGGTCCGGGTCAGGGAGCAGGGAGGCGGGGTTTAGGGTGGTTGGTGGCTGAAAGAAAATTCTGAGAGGGTTTAGCAACAGCCCTTGGTAGTGAGTTAGCCGTGCATTGCTAAGCCATCGGTCGGGAGGCTGCTTTAGGAGGCCTTCAACAGCATGGGGTGTGGTGACCTGCAGTTCTTGCCCCCCATGGTTAGCTTGTCTGCATCTTTTACCATCAGGGCTGTGGCCGCTATCATTGTGAGACAAGGGGCCATCCAGCGGCTACAGAGTCAAGTTTCTTTGATAAGTATGCTTCAGGCCGTTTCCAAGGGCCTATGGGCTGAGTCAGAACTCCCTTAGCTACCCCCTTACTCTCGTCCACAAACAGTTGAAAAGGCTTGGAGGCATCAGGGAGTCCCAGTGCTGGGGCCGAAAACAGCGCTGTGTTCTCTGTCCATTGGAAGGTGCTGATCTTTTGTCATCAGGTAGAGGGGTTTGGCCAATTCAGCAAACCCAGGGATCCACAATCGGCAGAACCCGGCTGACCCCAAAAACTCCCGAACCTGTCGTTGCGACTGCGGTTGGGGGATTCGGAGCACAGTCTCCTTGCGTGCAGGGGTCAGCCATCGTTGCCCCCCTTTCAATAGGTACCCCAGGTATGTTACCTCGGTCTTGCAGAGTTGGGCCTTCTTAGCGGATGCTCTGTAGTCCAGGCTCCCCAAAGTGTGCAAGAGGTCCTCTGTTCCTCGGGTGCATTCCTCGAGGGTCTGTGCTGCTATCAGTAGATCATCTACATATTGTGAGAGGGTTAGGTTTAGGTGTGTCTGTCTGTACTCACTCAGGTCTTCATGAAGAGCCTTATCGAATAGGGTGGGAGAGTTTTTAAACCCTTGTGGCAGCTGTGTCCAAGTTAGCTGTCCGTTGATGCCTCTTTCTGGGTCCGTCCATTTGAAGGCAAAAAGCTCTTGGCTCTTAGGTGCTAGGGGTAAGCTAAAAAAAGCATCTTTCAGATCTAAAACAGTATACCATTGTTTTTCGGGACTGAGAGCACTAAGAAGGGTGTAGGGGTTTGGCACTGCTGGATGGGTATCAATAGTTCTTTTGTTAACCTCCCTCAAGTCCTGCACGGGCCGATAGTCCCCTGTGGTGGGCTTATGCACTGGCAGTAGAGGCGTGTTCCAGGCCGATTGGCACGGTCGCAGAACTCCCTGGTCTAGGAGGCGCTGAATGTGGGGTGTAATTCCCACTCTTGCTTCTAGGGGCATAAGGTATTGTCGAATCCAGACGGGATCCGCTCCAGGTTTTATCTCTATGTATATGGCTGGTGGGTGGGTGGCCAGTCCCATTCCCCCAGTCTCAGCCCACACCTCCGGGAAGCGCTGGATCCACCGGTCAATTTCTTGTCCAAGCTCCTCAGGTTGTTGGTGAATACGGTATTCATCTTCCAGGGACAGAGTTAATATTGAAACTGGTCCACCTTGTGAATCCGTCACCTTTGGCCCATCAGGTAGTAAGCAAATTTGGGCTCCTATTTTAGTTAGTAAGTCTCTCCCCAGAAGGGGGTATGGACTTTCAGGGATGACCAAGAAAGAACGGGACACTCTGTTGGTCCCCAAGTCCACAGTTCTTTTAGTTGTCCACGGCTACTTTTTGATCCCTGTGGCTCCTTGCACCTAAGAAGAGGTGGCTGATAGCTTCGCTCTGGGGCTAGTGAGAACTGAGTGCTGGGCTCCTGTGTCTACTAAAAACTGGACAGCATTCCCCTCCACTTGTAGAGTTACCCTGGGTTCAGGGAGGGGGTCTGAACCCTGTCCCCCCTAATCTTCAGAATCTTGGGTCACTAGTACAGCAGGGGGTTGCGTGGGAGGCGTTTCCTGCCATTGGCCTGGCTTGGCCCTTTTCTTTTTCGGACAGTCTCTAGCCCAGTGGCTGATCTCCTTGCAATAGGCACACTGGTCTTTATCTAATTTTTTATAGGGTGTTTTTGGGCGTGTGGAATTTTCCTGCGGTTGCTTCCCTTGAACTGCAGCTGCCACTACTCTTGTCATCTTTTCTGTTGCCCTCAACTGCTTCTCTTCGGGGGCATCCCTGTTATTAAAAACCCTCTGAGCAATCCTAAGTAAATCCTGAATGTTCTTCCCCTCCAGGTCTTCTAATTTCTGTGACTTCTTTTTAATGTCAGGAGCAGCCTGATTTACAAACGACATAACTACTGCTGCTTGATTTTCGGGGGCCTCTGGATCCATAGGCGTGAACTGTCTGAAGGCTTCCATTAATCTTTCTAAATACCCTGAAGGGGACTCTGTCTTTCCTTGATTAACCGCATATACCTTGGCCAAATTAGTGGGTTTACGTGCCGCTGCCCGGAGAGCTGCCATTAGAGTCTGGCGATAAACCCGTAGCCATCCCCTACCTTCTGCTGTGTTGGAGTCCCAGCCATCTTGTGGGGGTCTGGTCAGAGGAAAAGCATCATTGATTAAATCTGGAATGGCGATGGGTTGACCATCGTCACCAGGAACCAATTTCCTGGCTTCTAACTGGATTCATTCTCACTCCTCTGTGGTAAACAGGATTCAGAGGAGTTGTTGGCAGTCATCCCAGGTAGGTTGATGATTAAACATAACACTATCTAAAAGAGAAATCAAATCTTTGGGGTTGTCAGAAAAACGGGCACTTTGAGTCTTCCAATTATAGAGGTCGCTGGTGGAGAAGGGCCAATACTGAAGTCTAGGGTTCCTGGTGCCTTTGGGCAGCCCGATTTCTCGTGATGGTAGGGCCACCATGGAGTCGGGATGGCGCAGGCTCGCCGCTCATTGGGTGCGACCCCTCGTCCTTTCTGCTGGTCCCCCTGAGTCAGCCCCTGCTTCTCTCTCTCCCTCCAGTGGGGCTGCCCGTGCTCCCTCGTTCACTGGCTCTGCAGGCCTAGGATGAGGGAGAAGGTATGGAGGAGGGTCAAGGGGTAGGGGATCTGAACTGTCAGGCAGGACTGGGTAAAGAGGAGCTGAGGGTTTAGTGGCTCGGGGTTTAGCAGCAGCCTCCCTTGGGGGTGTGGTTTTTGCTGACTCGCCCACTCCTGTGCGCTGTAGGGCTAGAATTTTAGCTGCGGGAAGGAAAGGTGCCAGCCAGGCCGGCGGGTTATTTATTAGATCTTGCCAGACAAGAATGTAGGGGATTTGATCTGGGTAGCCATTTGGTTCTGAGAGAAAGATTTTCTCTTTAACCCTCTGTAGGACTGACCGGTCGAGAGTGCCCTATGGAGGCCATCCAACACCAAAAGCTGGCCACTCTGACTTACAGAGAGTGGCAAGTTTGTCCTTCCTGATTTCCATGCTTAAATTAGAAGCTCTATTCCTCATGTCTCTGAAATGATCCATTATGATGGTGAGGGGGGTGGTCTGCATCTGCCCCATCGTGGACCTACAATCCCTGGTTAAAAAGGGGGATTTTTGGAAGGAAGGTAAGGTTAGTCAGATAAGGGAACAAAGCAGGAACGTGTAGAGTGTCCTCTTTTCTCATCCAAAGGTAGTAACCTGAAAAATAACAGCCTCAAACTGAGAGCTTTTGGCGGAACACGCAACCACACTGACACACAGATACAGATCGCAGGCGCATTGGGCTGTCTCTGCCCGACCCAATGGACTACAATTTACACTGATAGTCCCAGATGGGGTCCGAGGAACGTCTCCCAACGGCCCCGCTGACAGTCCTATAGCGCGTCCGCCAGGACTTTTCGTTGGCCCAGATACAGAACCTATAGGCAACTCAGATAATACAGTCGACTACACAAAGACAATGCCAGCAAACTCACCCGGACTGGTCCTTCCATGACCCTTCAACGAGGTGTCTGGGTGGGCTTCGGTGAATCCTGGACGAGCCCCCCAAATTTGTTATGCCCGCAGTCCATGGTCTCCCAAAAATCACACCACCAGAGACCGAAGTTGAAGCCAATTAGCAGGGTCGTTTTTATTATGAGTTCGAACCCGGGCCTCTCTGTGCCTCCAGGAGAGGAAGCCCCCGAGAAGCCCTGAGCCCAATTCTTACAGAGCTTTTATTATCATGTACAAGCAGGCTTTAGGGGGGAATGCTATAGATCAAGTTGACACTTCTGATAATTCCCGAGACACCTGTCGCAGACTCCAGGGTAGGGGCTGGTTGTTATCTCAAACTTTAAACCTCCCTTTAACATTCCTGGACCTGGGTCAGGGTAGGGTCACATCTGGCCAGGTGGAGGGAAGGGGGAGTGTACGATACGATAATCAACTTAATGTAGTTACTGGATTACTTAGCTCAAAGACACTTAGCATTGCTTTTTATTACTACTAGTTGCCTAATAAGCTAATGTGATTACACTTTAGGTTACATTGAAATAATAGTAAAAGCTGGTTGTGCAAGTGTCTTAGCCTGAGTGAGAGGACAGGGATAACAACTTCAGCCACAACACATGGAGACGAGGAATCACTGCTCAAAGGGACTTTCTTCTGCAGAGAAGTGGAAGCGACAGACAAGCAGGACAGCTGCCTTGTGAATGACCTCGCTGATCTCATTGCTGTTCTTTTCCAGTCTCTGTACAGTTTTGTGTGTACCCACTGTGTGGCCCCTTAACCACTGTGGCTGGCTGGTTTTTGTTGGCAATGCACTGTACTCTTTCTTAGTACTTCCAGCTAGCACGGGCGGAGCAGTTATTTATATACCTACTACACGCTCTGTGGGAGAACAGAGGTGTAGTGACACCATTTGAAAGGCTTCTGCTTGCTGTCCCCAATTCACACAGATGGACTCTGCAGTTTTTTGGAAGCCACACAATCCTGGCAGTAACTGGATGAGAAAAACAAAATCTTTCTTGACATGACCTCCGGGTTCATTCCCACCATTCTGCCCTGCTTCGGGCTCTGAATGGGTGATGCAATCAAGCAGGGCATGTTGTGTCCGAATTCCCCAATCAATGCACAAGGCACAGTCGTGGATGCAAAAGCAGAGATTTATTTGTTACCAGCCCGCTGGGACCCCCTACCTGCACACAGCCATTTAGCAGTGCACAGGCAAAAGGCCCTCTTGTTTGCATAAGAGAGGTTTTTATAGCCTCACACTTACAAGGGTGCAGGTCATCTCCTATGTAGGTTACCTTCTTACTCTCTATATGGCAAGGTATTGGGACCTAACATGTTCATTGGTTCATTTAAATGTAAAGGCTATATACGTTATGTGGCGGGAAGGCCACTGAAAGGAGATGGCATGGGGAGGAACTGGCGGGAAGCATCGGGCCATAAATTCCAGGGGAGCTGGTGGAGGGCAGGAGGTCATAAATCCCAGGGGAGCTTACTTTCTTTGTTCTCAAGGACCCAGCCTGCCTCCTTGGCTGGTCCGGGAGGAGGCCTATCATGGCATTATAGCAGGCCCGCAAGCAAGCCAGAGTACAGAAGCGGAACAGGCATTTAGCAAGCTAGGGACTCCAACTCCTACAAGCACTGATTCTCTGGCCCATGCCCACCTGGACGGCTCAGTATTTCTTGGACACAATGTATGCCTTTCCAGCGTGGCCTGCTGCTTTCTCTTTTAGAATCAGGCTCCTCCTGTGCCTCCACTGCCACCTCTTGAAAGTTCTGTGGCGGCCATAACTTCGCAGTGAGGACTTTGCCTGAGCTCCCCGGCCAGAGGTGCTGTTCTTTCCTCTGGACTTCCAGATGCTGACAGTGGAAGCTGCTGCGTGAGAACCTGGGCAGAGAGGAGAGCTCTCAACTTGACCCTTTTCCTCTAAACCCCTCTGAAGAGTGTGTTCAAACACCCAACCAGAGAAAAGGGGCCAGATCCCCAGGAAGCCAACAAAAATGTAAAAACTGACCAAGAGCGACCCTATGCAGTGATAAGCACTTGGTGAATTTTCCTCATTTCCTATGTCTTGTATGTGAGTGGGAATTGGAGTTCAGTTGAATAAACTTTTTTCTTTTAGTGTTTGTTGTGAGCTAAAGATGCTGCTAGATAGGGAGAGGACAAAGGATAACAGTAGCTTAACTTTCACGATGTTTATCTTATG